TGCCAGTCAAGCTGGTGCATCATGGTAGATGGGTTACGAGAAAAGCCATGTGGACGGGTCGCCGCGATCCACCCTCGTGGTACAGTGCGACCGCAACAGACACATATGCCTACAATACAATGCATTTTGATAATTCTGGAGGTGTAACAATAGGAATAATGCTGAGTCCGCAGGAAATCCACTGACGATATTAGATCAGTAATGGATAAATTGATAAAGCAGGGAGAGGAGCCGTGACACGAGATGACCTGTCATATCGACATTGATCGATGGTTTATATTAATATATATATTAAATTATATACCCTGTAGTTAATCTACTCCATACTATCTTGACTAGCAGGCTAGCAGCATTGACTACCAATGACGACTGAAGAGTGACAATGCGCGACTATTGATTCATGATGAAATCCACAATCGCTCTGTCCCGGTCACTACAGTAGTAGTGGTGCGGCGTATCCTTAGCCTGGGTACTAACTAAAGACGCGGCAAGTATTTGAGATTGATCCTGGTACTAGTCTGCGTCCTTAGTCCAACGCAGGGATAACCCCCTGTCAGTTGCGTTACGATTAGCGAGGGTGCCCCAGGGCAGCGATTCAAGATCTGAGGTTTTGTCATAGAAAACTCGGGGATCTCATACAATTTGACATTTTGAACTCGCGGTTACCAGTATATTACCCTTGTCCTGAGCTCAATGGAGCAGATTCCAAATATTCAGAGGGAGATGGAACTATATAATGATTATATAGTAACTGACAAATAAGTATCCCTGTGAAGTGTATATATGGAACGCCTCACGAGGAGTCTGTAAGATAATACAAAACTGAATACAATACATTACCCGTACTGCCATGACCAAAAGAGTAAATGGGTAAAGTAAAGCACCTAGCAGAAGCTCTTGTAGAACCACCCTTGTTCCAAAGAGTGGAGCGAACGGCCCTCTCGCATCCGCCGCTGTTTCCTGACTGTCGGGCCTCCAGCTTGCAAAATGCGAACCTCAGGGGGTCCGAGCACCCCAACTGTCGGCGGCAATCCGCTGTCAGTCCAGTCCAGTCCTGTACTCCACAACAACAACCAACAACCAGAACAAGTGAAACCTGTCTGGAAATACGGAATTTCGGAGCCTTAGGTAGCACTCTTACGGACAGGGCTTGCGTGATCGCCGCGCAGACTCGCTACGGACCTACCAAGTCTGGTATGGAGCAATATAAGATGGAGTCTCCGTACGAGGGAGGAGATTTTCTGGTTGACAAGGATTTGAGATTTTCGAGTTTTCAATAGACTTGACATTACAGAAACTGTCCCGACATGTCATGTTGTTAACTCTGTGACAATTGACCAAAAGGGTAAAAGAAGCTGTGCGATTATCAGTTATCAGGACAAAGCACCTACATTCTGCAGGTACCTGAGGATAACGCCGGGAGATATCATGAAGCGATCATTAATCTACGCCCGGATTGCGATCTGACACCACGTAACCAGCGTCGATCCTTGCACAGATCTTACAAATCATGCCGTGCAATGGCAGAGGAGCAGTCGGCAGACTATTGGAGCGCCTATACAGCCTCTGAGTAGTGGCTAGTACGGAGAACTCCGCAGTGATGTCGATGGGGGGTTCATGTATGTCTGTATGCTTCGTATGAAGGTATCAGGCCGTGTCGGGTAAAGGTTCAACGGGGATGATCGAGGTTATCCGTATCTACGATCTCACTTGGACACTCAATCAGAACGAACGGAATTATTATCTGTAGATGATGACGTAGGAATGTCTCTCTACCCTGAGGGGAGCTTTTTCAGATACATGCCGTAGTCAACAATGTCATTACAAAATGAGGCTAGTTAGAGTAGTACTGCATGCTAGTCTAGTCTAAAAAGGTTAAGATATGGGCCCAATGGAGAGTAACAAACAAGACAAACATTGCTCGGGCTTCATGTCAGAGTTTGTACCCGCTCGGGGACCATCGCGGCCATGTGGTTCCCGATACGCCCAAGCGCCGACACGGGAAGACCTCGATTTTCCCCATTGGGAGTTGACGTCGCATCCATCACGAACTACGGAGTACACTACATCCTTTTGCTCGCAGTGCTACCAATCCTGTGTCCATATTCCATTCTACCAGAGAGCCCATCCACCTTGTGTATGGTGGATTGTAGAACTCGTGTGTGTCGGTGTCTGTAGCTATCCTGGGTCATATTGTCGGGAAGGGGCAGGCCTTTGCGTCCTGAGAGTCCAAATGCTCCTCCTACTTGGTGTGGTGAGTTTGCGGCTGCTGTTCCACCTGTTCCTCTCGTCTATGCTCGGAGAAGTGCCGTGGGGCGCGGGGCGGAGGGCATGACCATTCTCGTCATTATCGCCGTCACGATGACCACTTGCTTGCTGCTCGTCCGGGACCCCGGTGGTACATCCATGCAGACTTCAGGCTTGGGGCTCGATATCGCCAATGATAGAGACTCAATGATTGCCACCCGCGAGATGCGCGCTCTGGCTAGGATTGGCGGAAATGCAATGTGATGTGATGGCACTATTGAGTATCTCGATGCTGCGTCACTTCAGCTTCAACTGACTCGTCGTATCTGACAAATTGTTCTCTTACAGGCATTGCCTCAGGATTCATGGCACCGTACGGAACTACGAGTATGCACTGAGGGCCCCGACTGGGCCCTGACCCGGAAGGTCGAGACCGGTTCTACCGTTTCTCCCTCCGCATCCCTGAACGGCTGAACCAGCTATCTCAGACAATGAACGGATTTCCCGCTGTCAGTGCAGTTTTAACTCGGCGCCTCAACGGTGTACCACAATCATGACGGACGTTTGCCGCAGGAGACCAGAACGATCATAATAATACGTACATTACTCCGTGTAGTACCGTAGCATACAGCATCTACATTGGACGAGCTGTTGGATTTCAGAGACCCATTACCCCGTATGCTAATCCAGAAAAGACCAGAACTCCCGAATAGGTTTCTAACTTCTCCTGATTATGCTTAGTGAAGTCAAGTCGGTGGATCAACCTTGATCTGGCCCAACCAGCCTGAGCCAATGGTTCACCCGGCCAAGAGACCAAATCGACACCGTCCAAACTCAATCTGAGTCCCAGCGCCCAGGAACTAGTCTAACTGTTATTTGAATTTCCTCACGGTAAGCGTAAAACACAACGACTGTGCTTGTGCCTCGCCCTCAGCAAATGTCGGGAAAAGTCCGGCTAATCCCCGCAGCAGGCACATCAAGGCGAGCAAATAGCAATAAACCTAACCCTGTGGCATTCTGCTAGCTTGGTGCTACACTCCCACTACCTACAAATAGAGGTCAGGCACTGGAACCGCAGGGGGTCGACGGGCTATCCTGGGCCGGGCGATCGGGGACCATGAAGGGATCACCTCGTATCAACATCATCGACTCTGGCACTGACTCTGACTCCTTCAGACCTAGTGTCCCATCCTTGTACGGTATGATTTGGTATGTGGTATCAGTATCACCGTTCTGGTCTCTAGAGAGCTAACGGTAGCTACGGAATGAAGCCCTAGAGGGGTCGACTAGACTAGCCGTCGCGCCAGTTTAACAGATGACCGTCAAAAGTTGCCACGAACCATGAAGGGACGAGGTGTATCCGCGCACCTGCACTATCGTCCCAAAACGCACTCTCGTCCGAAGCCAGGTCGATGACGCCATTCCATGCCATCCATTTTCGCTGTTGCAGTAGGAATGAATGTCTAGTCTGGGTCCAGACTCTCCAGACTGTCTCCAGGCCTGAGACCGTACTCCATACTTCGTAGACTGCGCCTATTCGGGGCATAACGCCGAAAAGAAGTAGTAGCAGCATCGAGCCCTCATGAGCCAGATTCAACCACAGACTTTGATGAGCTCCGCGCTCTAATAGACAGTGAGGTGTATCCCTCGCAGGGTATGCTTGCTGAAAAGGAGTCATGGCTCATCAGCAGGGAATGTGACGATGGGTAATTCGCCCTGGAACATGCTTCGAATAAGGTATATGATGAAGAGATACAGACCGTTCTCAATACTATAGAAATCGATTCTTACTGATATCTGGTACATACGACCATAGGGTGTGGAAAACAGGGCTTCCCGTCCGCTCAGCCGTACTTAAGCCACACGCCGGCCGGTTAGTAGTTGGGTGGGTGACCACCAGCGAATCCCGGCTGTTGTATGTTTTTAGTTCACCTGTTCTTTATTTTGCTTCAGAACCGCACAGTCAATTCTCGAAAAGCCCTAGGCTCCCATAATTTTTTGAAACCAAGGACATAAACCGGGTGAGGGTGATAGGGGTGCGATGACCTTTCGCTTTTCGAGTATTGCATCGCACCAGTGGTGCTTGGGACCGTCCACGCAAGCGAAGACTGATGCTGAGGCCGGACTGCCTTGGAGTGATGATAAATAGCTAGGGCGCCAGGTCCGTTTTACTGTATCCCATTCTTTTGCAGGACCGAGAATCACGATTGTTTCGAAATTCTTCTATTCCACACACATGTGAAATCATATGACTATAATCGACGACAGGATGAATGAACATCATCGCCTGGCGGCTTCCCGTGGATTCAACCATAGATTATCAGAACAAGCAGGAATCCCAGGAATACAGTGTATATCTTAAGGGCGCATATGACTGCTCGGATAAGGAAGGAATGATGTGGACTAGTTTATTTCGGACGTATCACTTGACCTTCCAAGGATTCGTCCCGTAAAGATGCGTCCATTAAATGGGGCATATCGAACAGCCAAGGAAGCCATGCCTTCTTGCTCTTTTGATATTTCCTCCATGATCAAAGGTGCTTGCTGTACCTTGGGGCCTCGAACACTCCTGCATGGGTCGTCGCCCGCGCGAACCAGTGGGCTATAGATCACGGGAAAGACACCCCATTTTCGATGTGCACTGGAGTGCTGGAATGTTCTGGATAGGAAGCCCTGGAGTCCCGAGGTTATCCTGATGGCGAGGGAGTTCGACATGGCAGATGCGCCGTGGGAGATTCTCTGCTGAGGTAGTGATGCAGAAGGAAGAGAAGACGATCAACTGGCGAGAACGGCCAAGATATGGCCGGACCTGGGCGGGAGACAACCGACCAGGAAAAGAACATATGGTAAAGGCGCTGAAGGGCATAGCCAAAGAGGTCGGCGCACATTCGCTGGGTGCGGTGGCAATCGCTTATCACTTACCACAAGGTTCGCTTACCCCCCGGTCACAGTCACTTGCCCTATCATACTGGTATCTAGGTATCACCGTGTCTTCCCCGTCGTCGGCTGCCGCAAAGTCAAGCAAGCACATCCTGTCGTATGTCGAGGCCATTGATATCCCGCTCACACCAGAACCCATCGCGCAGATTGAGGCTGTCAAGGCCTGGCGGCCCGGTATGCCCCGTCCTATCATTGGTGATGGTATCATAGATAATGTCCTGGGGGGATATTAGCGCGCATGTTGATTGCTTGCCTCTGAGGGGAATTATTCCGCCAACATGGTGTGAAGTTGGAGTGAAGAGCCGGTATTAACCTGTTTGTATCTGATTCGTAAACAAGGGACCATGGAGAGAAATCAAAGAATCTGCCATTGCTTTACCGAGGTTTGATCTCCAATATCGCTTTTGATTAATGCTTGCGTTTCCTGGGACCCGGCACCACAATACAGCAGGATCAAATCCACTATATGCTGTTATCACCACCAGCCTTTGGGGTTGTCTTCTTACTCCGACAGATCGGGAGAGAATCCGAATTATATGCAACTGTTCGCTGTAGACCCCTCCCCTGAGCAAGCATCCTCTGATTTACCTTACCAACCGCCTTCATGGTCCCTTTCGTCAAGGATGTTGACTTTACGTGGCCACGCCATTTGTCGAGCGTCTCACTATTAACGCCCAACTGTCCTACCACAACGAACCATAACTAGTCTTTCAAACCAGCCATAACCCGGTACCGACCCGCAGTCACCATACGCATCTTCTTGCCATACAGAACCATCGGAATAATAGTCATTGTAACTGCCAAGCTGGTAAACCCGCACGCGATGAACATATCCTGCGCGCCTGAGCGCTCTAGCCACGGGCTAATCGCAAACGGGATCCCGATGCTGATGGCGTTGCGGAGGAAGGCTACGCCTGTGAATGCGTCGCCGGTTATCTGGTATCATATGCTAGTTAGAAGATATTTTCTAGTGTATGGACTTCTGAGAAGGTGGGAACTTACATCGCGATAACTATCAATCACCAGCGTTAATGCCGCATCGCTGATACTGCCTAGTCCGAAGCCGAAAAGCGCACCGGCGATACTTGGCCAGATCCAGTGGAGGCCCTGATACCGGGTTAGCAAGTTCAACTTCAATGTCTCTCTCCTTCTGAGTGAAAATAAGATAAAATGCTTATGGCTTACTCTGGCAATTGTAGTCCCGAACATAATCAAACCCCCAGCCAACGTCAAAGCCGGGAGATGCAGAATATACAACCTCATCTCAGGTTCATAGTACCCCTTGTTCCGCCTCGCAAAGAACAAGATGGATCTATCGCCCAGAAAGCCACCGTAGACTGACCCGAGAAGGTTTCCGACGAACGGGCCAACGCTCATGAACCCAATCTGCTCAGGCGTGAAGTTGTACGGCGGGAGAGGGAAAACAAGACCCAGTACGCTGGAAAGGATTGTTAGCCATACCACGCCGAGGGCATATTGCAGGGCGCAGAATAGAATGGCGGGGAAGGTGGTTAGGACAACGAAGGGACGGTAGAAGTATGGCCAGATTGGCTCTGCGGTGTATGTCACCAGTGCTAGTCTCTGTCGCCTGGTCTTCAATGGGATGGTGTAGTCTAGCTCGTGGTGCTGCGCAAGAGCGGTATCTGATTCTTGCCGGCTTGTAGTGCACTCGACATCTGGTTGATGGTCGGGTTTGATGTCCTTGACGGAGATATTTTGACCGTCGCCGGCTTGGACACTGCTGCTCACGCCCATAACTACTTGGGTATACTTGGTCTCCTCATAGAAGAATATAAAAAGACCGAATAGAACAGCATTAACGATGCCCAGTGCACGATAGGATGCCCGCCATCCTTCACGCGTGGCTTGCGTCCCGGCAGCCATGGGCGTTAGGAAGCTCTAGAGTACGCCGCAATCAGTACATGAACAAGAAATCAAGAATTGCGACTTACCCCAATCATAACCATGGTCATATACAACCCATTGACCCCTCCACGATGATGCACAAAGAAAAGATCGGCAACCTATGGGCATGAGTCCGGCACACAAAGCCTCCAAGCATACGGACATACCGTGATCTGAACGATTGACTCGTTGGTCGCGCCGGCCAGCCCATGTAAGAGATTGGTAATATACAACTCTGGCAGAGATTTCATCCAGGCAGACCGGAACGAAGCCGCCATCATGATCGCCGTCGAAACGAGGTATACAGGTCTGCGTCCAAGCTTCTTCGCAAGGGGGATGAAGAGAACGCAGCCCACGGAGAGACCGACGAAGTTGACAGACATGGCGTTGTTGAGTTGGGCATATGTGACGTTCATATCTGACACGATCAACTGCCAGAAGATTACCTGGATTGACAGGCTGAATGTTGTCAATATATTTGTTTCTTCCGTGTCCAAGTAGGTGGGACTTACGCTGTGAATACCACCACCGTTACTGCTAGCACAAGAGTAAAGTTCACTGTCTTGCGGGCTGTACTCCAGTTCTATCTCTGGCTTTAGTATCCATTTGTTGAGTTGGATGACAGGACGGCTGACCAGTGGCTCATTAGGATCCCTCGACGGCACAGGGTGCAGGATAATCTGGGGTCGGTCATGATTCTCGCTCTCTCCAATTTCATCTGTAGATGAGGTTAAATAACAAGTCGCAGTAAGCTCAAACAATATTTACATACTTTGGATAAGGAGAAAAGTGCCTGGTGGCTGATTGTGATCGGTGGACGGTATGTCGTGGGGACTCTGTGCCATTGAGACCGGCTTCTTTGGTGAAAGCAGGGGAGGATACAGAAACGGGTATTGCTTGACAAAAAGAGCTGCTTTATCCTGACTTTCATTCTTGCTGAAAAGAAGAGGTGATGATCGATATAAGACTGCTACTGCTACTGCCACCCATTGCTGCGGTGGTACTTGACGACCTGTGAACTACCGATGCGATAGTAAACCACGTACTCATGATAACACAACCAGCGCCTCACAAAGTCTATACAGTCGATAAAATGCGGAGAAACGCCACATTGGCCCAAGATAAGCACCGTGAAGTATTGATGCGTGTCAAAGTGTCAGTACTAGTGCAGGGGTCGACCTGCCTAATCGAGACGGCCGAGGAACAGCTGTTGATATGAAGGTCAAGCGAGCGTGTCAGAATGAGTAGAACCTATATCATTGGCTGCATTTACCGCGATTTGAAGTTGGCATACAAATACGGTCTCAATTATTTTCAAGAAAACTACCAAGAAGGCAGGTCCAGCCAGGAACCTGCAGTCACTATAGTGGCCCGTCGGGCGATAGCGCATGTCAACCTCAACGTCCACGCTGCCCTGAACATACATGTCCCAGCTGCTTTTTAAACTAAACAGCCGAATACAATGCCAACCATCTAGACGGAGTATATCACCATTCATCACAATGGTAACAGACCAGGAACTGCCTCTTTTCCAAGTCCACGACGGCATGTCTATAACTATGTCTCTGCTATAAATACGACCAGCACACTAATCCAATAAACCCAACAAGACAGACCCGGAAGCAATCCGCGCAGTCGCAAATACAATTACCTCCTCCTTCGCCGACGATCCGCTGATAAGATGGCTGCGCCCACTCGCCGGACCGTGGTCAGCCAGCGATCCAAATACGTCCAAATGGCAGTACCGTCGAGTTCTGAGGGCTGCCGCGGATGGTATTGTGTTGATCTCTGCTACCGTCACTGAGGTAGATCAAGAGCTCCATAAAGACGGCAAGGTATGTGAACGGTTAACTGTCGAACGGGATGCAGGCGCAGTGGCCTTGTTGTTTCCTCCTCGACGACGTTGCCGGTGGACCCTGGGCAGGATACTGCTTTGGTGGAAGGTATGGTTTCTTGATACTGTTAGTCCTGTCCACGAGAAGGGTGGGAATGACAAGGTACGCGTGCCACCCTAGTTTCTGAGAGCATTGAGACCACAAATAACAATGGGGATCTATACTAGAGATTAAAGCAACTGATGGATGCCCATGAACGGGTGGTTACGAACGTCCAAGACACGTATCACATTCCTGACCTGTGGTATCTAGAGGTTATCGCTGTACACCCCTGTCTCCAAGGTCGTGGGCTGGGGAGGAAGGCACTCCGTTCTGTGCTAGACCATACGAACGATGAGCCTGTCATCCTCGAGTGTACAAACGGGGATAATGTCGCGTTTTACGAACGACTTGGATTCAAAGTTGTAGAAGAAGTCGAGTTGGTTGAGGATGGTGCAGGAGTCAAGCTGTGGTTCATGCTACGACAAGGCCTGCGAAAGCAGACGGATTGAACTCTCTGTTCATTATGCGTCAAAGATATATGTAAATAGAACAAGGAGTGACAGTGAATTCTAGAATAACCCCAACTCTACGCCCCTCGCCCGTGCAAGCTGGTCAATATCAACTGCTCCAACTGGGTACGTCCAGTACTCTTCGAGCAAGTCCAGGAGAAGGCGATATTGTCTATTCCAAAATGGGTTCTCGGCGGTTGAAAGCAGGGTCTTTCGGATGAATTCCTTCACTGTCGGATCCCTCTGCAAAATATCACTCTGTAGCCCGGCGACACAGACCGGATACGAAATGGCATTGATGATGAGTGTGTCCCAGCGTTCTGGGTCTAGAGAGGCGCGACATACGGCATCCACCGAACTTAAGAGCCGTGTCACTATGACCGTCGTGGGAGTGAGAATGACTCCTCTTTGCATGGCCGGGTCTACCGTTGCTTCTGTATCTGAAGGGCGCGGGAAGCCTGGTCCCCCATGTCGAACAACCAACACTCCAGCCAGTCGATACGCCTCCCACAATTGACACTGAATAAAGGTTCCCTTTGCGCCCGGCCAATCCCAAAAACGTGTCTCTGTTGTACCCTCGCCAATGAAGGCGAAGAGATTCACCAGAGACCTCGGTAGGCCAGTTACGACCTCAACCCCGGTCTCGATCTCTGCGGGGGAGTTTCCCTTGCAGCAGTACTGTCTCCAGAAGCCAAGATGTGAGTGCCGACGACCGATTGAAAATGTGGGGAGGTCCATGATACCCATCACCTCGAAGAGGTGGGCGCGGAATACACCTCGTTCTTGGTATTTTTGTGGGCCTTCAACATCGTGCATGCGAAGAATGCTGTACATCCCTCGGAGGTGCATTGTCCATGGAATGCCGTGCATAACCTGAAAAACAGGATTTAGTTAATGGACTAGAAGAGGGAGGAATAGAATTGGTACCCACTCCAATCGTACACAAGAGCAGTCCCGCTGTCAAAGTCCCATCCTCTAGATCGTCCTCGCTCTTGGAAAGCTCCGCGCGAAATTTATTCAGACCGAGGTCAAGATACTCGAGGGAACGGGCGGCTGGTTGTCGGTTTAGTGATGCTTGCAAAGCGATGCATATTCGATACAGCGCTTCGGATCGTTGGCATAGTACGGGAAGACGTGGTTTCAGCAAGGTCTGTTCGTCGTGGACTGTAGTTGAGTGTAGGATATTAATGCCAGATGATAGAACTACATCGCTATCGCATTAGCCTCGATTCTGCTCTGCTATAGTATTGTATATACTCACACTCTTGAAAGAGCCGCGCATCATCCTTGCCATGACCAGGGCTCGAGAAATAGAATGGTGCTGGGCTAAGTCTATAATCTACCAGACAAAAGCGTCAACGACTTGAATGTGCATACTGAAAGATGAAACTGTGCAACGGACGTATACCTTCTTGAGAAAAGTCTCGACAGGAAGAGTCCTCAGTCACCTGCGTCTGTATTTCCCCTTCCTGTTCTCGCCGCCGAGCTCGGTTTCGATCTCTCCGACGTCCAGGAACCCTCGGCGGAATCGACGTATCTACTGGTGCCTCGGCGCCGGTATAATGACCTCGCGATGCAATGCCGGATCCCCAGCGCAGACGCACTTCGTAGCCGTCGCATGGTATTCCCTGCTCGGTGCAGACTTGGCACGTCGGACGGGCACGGTCACACTTGCGACGCTTTGCCTTGCATGTCCAGCTATGACGGTCAAAGCTATCAGCTGCAGCCTAGAACACAAAGAAAGGGAGTGGATGCGAGGCAGGTTGTTACCATCCGCCGTGCGAGCGACGGGCACGACCGGGGGTCGACATCCCTAATTGGGTTGACACACAGAAACGAAGGGGGGGGGGGGAGGAGGGGGGAGAAGCTCGTATAAAAGTCGGGGATTATAATGCGGGGGTGATAACGAAAACCAGTGGATCTGACGGGGTCGACCTGCCATTTTGGAAGTAGCGTTGGACTGATATTGTTTGGTCTATAGATTACGACTTGGTAGTGGCTTGGTCGGTGCTGGCTATCTTGGCATAGGGTTGTATGGAGTATATGGCAAGCTCATGGACTGCCTATAGATGTACAAGTTTTCAGGCAATCAGACTTCAATATGTCCTTTCAAACTCCCGTCTCGAAATGTACAACCAAAATTCCATCGCTCGGTGAGCTCCAAGGGCTGCAATACGCAAATGGAGTGCAGCAGTTCTGCGGAATTCCGTACGCCGAGTTGGCCAAGCGGTGGACAAGATCAACGCTGAAGACTGTTTGGAAGGGCTCTAGGCACGATGGAACCAAGTTAGGGTACGCCTCTGTCCTCCTCCGACATGTGCTTTACAGAAGTTGACTGTATCTTTAGAAACAGCTGCCCTCACCCAGAATCTGAAGAAGAGACCAACGACCTCGTTCCAGTCCCGCCAGCTGCTCACTTTTCCTATCCTCCAGAGGTAGATGAGTTGACCGGTCTTGTCATGAACATCGTGATCCCATCAAAGCCAAACAATCCCGACAAAAGATATCCCGTAATGGTCTACGTACATGGCGGCTCCCTGCTATACGGAGGAGCCAACCTTCCGATTTTCGACGCCGTGAACCTCGTCTCCCAGAGCATCAACATGAGCACGCCAATCATATGCGTGAACTTCAACTACCGCGTCGGCCTCGGCGGATTCCTAGCTAGCGAAGAAATACAGCGGGAGCTAAGAGCAGACGGGTTCCAGGGCTGCGGCAATTTCGGCTTCACAGACCAACAAGTTGCATTCGAATGGGTGCAGCGGTATATCGATGCCCTAGGTGGTGATCCAAACAACGTCACTGCTATCGGAGAATCTGCTGGTGGGATTTCGATAAGTAACCAGCTTGCTGCTGCGAGTCCGCCTCGTTTCCGACGCGCAGTTTGTATGTCTGGCCTGTCTGTCTCGATTCCACCGTGGACGATGGAGCAGCATGAGGCACTGTTTGAGGCTGTTTGTCGGTATTTCCGGATTGATTCCACCCGGTCTGATGTGCTGGACTATCTCCGACAGATCCCGCAACAAAAGCTGGCAAACGCAACTCCTATCATCCAGGGGGTGCTATCTGGGACGGGGAATCCATGTCTGGACGGGTGGTTCTATAAGAACGACGCTGACCCGCGTGAAATCCAGACGGCACCATCGTGGCTTGACGCCCTAATGCTGGGCGATACTTACCATGAAGGAATTATCTTCCATTTGAACATCCTAGAGGACAATTTCCACTCGATCCGTCAGATCCTCGCAGAGCATGTGGGAGCAGAAGACGAAACAGATCAAATACTCGCAGAATACGGCATTAGCCCAGGCCTCCCACATAGCCTGCTCACCGAGCGAGTCGAACATATGTGCGGAGATGCGGTTTTCAAAATCCCCAACTACGCCACTACTCTGGCCAATTCGCATCTTGCGGACAAGGGCGCACTGTTTGTGTACCATTTTGACCAGCGCTCGCGACTCAAGAACGCGCTGGAAGGGACCGCGTACCATGCGCATGAGCTCCTGTATCTGTTCCAGAACCTTACCAATGAGATGGATGAGGACGAGAAAGCGATGGCGCGGGACTTTACTGCTGCGTGGATTATGTTCTGTAATGGGCAAGTACCGTGGACTGGAGGTAAACGAGAGTGGAAAGTTTGGGGTCCGGAGAGTGTCCAGGCTATGCGGACGGAGGAGCAAGATGAAGAAACTCGCTCGTATACGAGAATGCAGCGGATTCTCTCCATGGGTGGTGGCGGGACTTGGAGAAGATGGCTTTCTGGGGTTGATACGTTGGTGAATAAGAGAATGAATATGGGGAAAGCGGCCTAAGTTATGTATATACAGAGCAAATAAGTTGTCTAGTTACAAATGAGGAGATACGTTTGAAACAGAGAGAGCGTAAACCGCCTTCTTAGCCCTCTCGTCCGTAACGAGCATCTGCTCAGGAAACCAAGAGAGGTCTACAGCCTCTCCATCCAACAGGTCATTATCCTGACAGAGCAACATCGTCCCCAGCGCCTTCCCACACAGCCATGCTAACACCATTCCTTCTCCTGAAAACGCCGCAGAGACCCATTCAGCGCCTCTCTCTCCCTGCGCATCTTGACCCCTCCGCGTGAGTGACGCTGGGAGCCGTCCCACCCAAGGAAATCCATCAGCGCTGAAGCCCATATTCCCCGTCCACATCTGCTCAACAGCACGCAAAGGCACAGCTCCCCAATTCTCACGACCAAATACCGCACTCAGCGCCCCTGAAAGGTGGATGTCCGCATAGAGACTAAGCTCCGAGTCTGTAGAAACACCGAGGTCCGAAATCGCACCTCCTTCGCCCTGAGAGAATCCGCCTCCAAACATCATCATCTCGCCAGCATCCGAGGGCGAAGGCGGCAGCTGCGTGAGATAATCAAAGCCGCGGTCATAGTTGAAGAGCCATGAATGCTCCGCTCCTTGACTTCGGAACTTTGTCCCAGGGTGCTGCGCGGACATCTGGCCGCGGACGGGACAGATACGGCCTTTCAGCCCGGGGACTAGATGAGCAACGTGGGCGTTTGTGCAGTGCACGACATGGCTGGCGCGAATGGTGCCTCGAGGTGTTGTCAATGTGTAGCGGAGTCCGTTTGGGGCCTTCCTCCTGTCATCTTCGATGTTGGTGACTGGCGTATTCGTTTCGATCTTCAAGTCGTCATGGTATTCGGTCTTCAAGTGACCCAGGACTCCGGTGATAAACCTGTAGGGCCAGATTGCACCCGCCGGGCCGGCAACGATTCCTTGAGCATGAGGAAGAGAAAACTCCTATATCGCTGATTAGGAAATATATAGGAATAATGACATTTGCTTCCTACCTTTGGAATATCTTCCCTCTCATACAGCCTCCACTCCCCGTCTCCTCCGGCAATCCCTCCCTCAAACGCAGAAAGCGACGACGAGCCTCACTCCAAGCCTTCTGGTTAAAGTAAACACTCAAGAACTGGACTTTCCGCGCCTGAGCTGTCTCCGTCAATCCATACTCCTCCGCTACAGCAAAAAATTCCCGCAAATGCGCGAGCCGAAACCTCAATATCTTCCTCGCAGCGTCAGTCCCATGCGCTTCTTCCAGATCTGCGAATTCCTCCGCCGTCTCGAGGATATGGCCCCCATTACGGCCTGTTGCACCGCTACAGATGTCCCGGGCCTCTAGCATAACGATCGCGGGACGGCTGGTACGTTCTTGTCCCGGACCATTATTGCGAGGTTTTCGAGACTCCAGGAGTGTTCTTGCGATGGATGTTCCTGTTACGCCGGAGCCGATAATGACGACGTCTGCTTCAGCTGGTAATTCTGGTGACTGTATTTTTGCGAGATCGGGATGGGGTGAGCGCAGCCAGAAGGAAGATGTAGGGTTTGGTGTTGGGAGCCCGGGGTCGGACAGCGCTCTGTCTAGGGCTTCCTGGCGGTCTTGTAGTGGGATTCCGGGATTGGAGAGGAGGGATTGGACGAGGAGTGCCATTGTGATTGTATATTCACATTTATCTAGTTAGCAAGGGTTGTTTGAAGGGATTGGGGTCATTAGGTGGAAAGAAAGGGTGGGTATAAATGTCCCAGTCGAAGTCTAAATTCACTAACATGTCGTGGGATGGTAGTATGACTCTAGAGACCTCCGATAACAAAGAAGCTCATTCTAATATGGAAGGTCTATGCGGAACAAAGTGTCACAAAGTAAGCAATGCGATCTAAGTTCGTGCTTGCTGGAGCCCGCGGGCCCCAGGCTATCAATACACGATCTCTTAGTCTTAGATGGAGTTGGGGTCAACCTGCCTTTTCGGGCAACGGCTCTCTATGAGAATAACGGACAGATAAGGCCGGGATATCTCATAATGTAGATGCCGATTCTGATCATAGATAAAGACGCAATACTAACTTCATCACTGACCGGCAACATCATCCAACACCGTGCAGTAATCATGGCCGCCACAAGCAATGACTCCCCCGGAAATGCCTACTACCCAAATAGCCCCCAATGCGAAGGCCAGGCCTGAAATTCCTTTACCGCCTCGAGTGCACCATCGCCTCGGAAGAAATCAATATCGGTGCCCCCAACGGAACGGGCGTATTTCGGAGCATCGCGAACATAACAGGCGGTACATTCAAGGGGCCGAACCTTGAAGGAACCGTTCTTTCTCTGGGTGGTGCAGACTGGGCGACTGTTATCGAGGGCACGCATGTTTGTAGCCTTTCCCAATCCATTCCGCGGCCCTATCGATATCGAGACCGTGCCACTAACAACATCAAAGTCCATGACCCTCGACGCACGATACACCATCAAGACAGTCGACGACCACTATCTCTTCGTGCAAGCGCACGGTCTCTACCGCCCCGCACCGGGAACACAATATGCCAAACAGGTAGCCGAGAACCCAGCCATGAGACCACCGCCGACAGTTACACAAGATGACGTCGAGTTCTTCTCACATCTGCGGATCGAGGCTGCGGGAAAATATAACTGGTTGAATGGGCTGGTTTGTGTTGGGGTGATGAGTTGCGAGGATGATCGTATCATTATCGATGCGTATTATTTGACGAACTCCTCTGGTGTGCGGCCGGAAGATGTTATGATGAGACGGGAGAATTCATAGATACAGCCCGAGGTACTTAGAATCTCTCCTTCTGTCTTATGGTGTCGTATTTACCGTGATATGAGCCGTGTCCTCATCACTTGTCCCGTTTAGGAAGGTCGACGCATCCTCCTATCTGAAACTCTGGTAGATAGATGACCCCGTTGGTTTCTTAGTGCTATTTATGCTGTACCCCGCATAGACCCGCATGTGTAAATGCCTGTACTCAGTACTAGCGCCACAGCTATATAGGACAGTCGAGGCATTGCCTTATCAATAGATCCATAGAAGAAAAATGACCATATCCCCATCCCCCAAGACTGACTGGCAGGCCCTTGTCGCAGCAAAACGCAAACAACTAGACGCCCAAATCCCATCGGAATGGCGCCTCAGCGACGACTTCCGAGCCTCAGTCCCCGCCAATGGCCATCTAATGGAGGTTGACATTGCTCGCCGAAGCGGCATTCTCTCTGATAAAGAGCTAGCCATCACGGAGAACTTCTCCGCGGTGGAATTATTAGAGAACCTTGCCGAGAGAGAGTTTAGTTCGGTAGATGTCACGACGGCCTTCTGCAAAAGGGCGGCGATTGCGCAGCAGCTGGTAAGTGGCTTCTGCATCCATGGAGAGGTGCCCTCCATTATACAACGAGATACCGGCGACTGACTACGATAGACTTCATGTTTAACGGAACATTTCTTTGTCAAAGCCATCGAGCGTGCGCAGTTCTTAGATGAATACCTGCAAAGAGAGAAGAAGGTAATAGGTCCGCTTCACGGCCTTCCCATCAGCATCAAAGACAGTTTCTGCCTAGAGGGGATCCAGAGCACTCTTGGATATGTCTCGCTTCTGCAGAACGAGCCGGTGTCGCATAAATCAGCCCTGGTCGAGATTCTACTCGACCTTGGGGCAGTCCTTTATGTGAAGACGAATATCCCTCAGACAATGATGGTTGGTTGCCCTACTCATCCATACATACCCTTGCATAACTGGGTTCAATGGCTGACACAACACAGACAGGTGATTCCGAAAACAACATCTTCGGCCGGACCTTAAACCCGCATAACACGAATCTAACAGCCGGAGGATCAAGCGGCGGAGAGGGAGCACTGGTCGCCTTCCGCGGTTCGATCCTGGGCGTAGGAACCGACATCGCAGGGTCGATCCGCATTCCTTCTCTCTGCTGCGGTGTGTATGGCTTCAAGCCTACAACCGACCGCATTCCCTGGGGCGGCCAGGTAGCAGGTTTAGCCATGGAAGGGATTCCAGGACTCAAGCCATCCGCAGGGCCTCTGGCGCATAGCCTCGCAGATATCGAGCTCTTCATGTCGACGGTGCTTAAGGCTGAACCTTGGAAGTACGATGTCACTGCGAGTGCATCACCGTGGCAGGAGCTCCCACTAACACCTGAGTACGGCTCTCAAGACAAGTTAACCATAGGCATCCTCCCTGAGAGCAAGGACTTCCCACTACATCCTCCTGTGCGGAGAGCTCTAGAGTCTGCCATCAAATCTCTATCCCGGCGCGGTCACCACATAGTCCGACTCCCAGATGACCCTCGCGAGACCTCGCCTACGCAAGCCGCCTAGCATTCCAATACTTCATCTACGGACCGCACATCGACCACATCGCGTCTAGCGGGGAGCCGCTCGTGCCATCGGTGGCTAAAATGTCTTCGCCGATGTTCACGGGCCCGTTTCCTGTTGATATGGAGCTCCCGCCATTTGAAAAGATCAATGCGCTGCATACGGCGAGAGAGGAGTATGCTGATGCATGGCGCAGGTGCTGGATTGGGAACGGGCTGGATGTTGTCCTTGCGCCTGGGGCGCAGAATACGGCGGTTCCGCATGATACATTTGGGTGGCCTCCTTATACGGTTATTTGGAATTTACTGGATGTAAGACCACCTACTGCATGCAAGTCCGTGTACAGATACCTGGAGGCTATGTGCTGACTACGATATCGTATAGTGTCCTGCGTGTATCATCCCCTACGGCGAAGCTTCCAAGGAACTTGATCCTGTCCCCATGGTTATTGACGATGGCGTCCAGCCTAGCTGTGAGTTTACACCATGATTTTCTACTTCATAGAAGGTAGACTTGCTGATCAGGACAGATGACCCCGATGCCGTTGACGGAGCTCCCTCTGCCATCCAGGTAGTAGCTCCACGCTTCCAGGATGAAAAGTGCCTCCATGCCGCGCGGATTATAGACAAGGCTATTCGATGAGTACATTTGTGTATTAGCTGATTTGCTTTTTATATCTACCTATATAGGAGGAGTAATGAGCAATAATCCTACCAGATGACATGATCTTCGCAGCCATAGGCTCAGTGGAGTCAGTGAATACCGACGTTGACCTTTCCTCAATCCGGAAGTACCATGAAACATTGAACATATCGCATATTCCAGATCCTCGAGGTATTCCTAAAAAAGAAGATTGTTAGACTATAATCTCTAGCTTTTAATTCATATTCCTTTATTTTTTCTATTGAAAGATATCTAATCCTGAGTTATTCTTGTATAGTAAGAACAGTACTACTAATAGGGAACTCTTTGTTTAGTATTTATCACTTTCCTATTATTTTCTAATCGTATCTACTATTAGGATATTAGTAAAGTTACAGTACTATCTTCTAGGGCCCTCATATATAGTAGGATGTATAGGATAGTATATTTTTGAATTGCTAAAGACGCTCGTTTTCCGTCTGTGTGCACCTTCTGGCGTTTAAGGGACGTCGCTTAACCTTACGAGCCCTCTACATGCTATCGAATGTCTCCATGTCTTCCAGGCTCGGTATTAGGGAAGACGATCCTTTTGAAACTTTGTGCGATCGGACGTTGAAAGGCGTTCTCCAAAAGCTCCTATGTGCCACGGACATCTCCAAATCCAGTGAGAAATTGCTTGCGCAGCCCACTACTAGCAGAAGATGGATGACTGGAGGAAGCCCGGTTGCGCTGGCTGAGTCTTCGAAAAGCCGCCATGTTGCTGAGTCGGATCCAATAAGCAATGCAGAGTTTGGGAAAAGGACTGCTGATTTCATACCATGGTTAAGGTTCCTAGACAATTGGGATATTGCTGTACGTAATTGTTCGGTTAGAGAATACTGTAGTAGAGATGCCCATCGTCATTATCCGTATACGGTGTGACGGCTGATGAATTCGACTTCAGAGGCCTTCCCAGTAAGTTATACTACGGGAGACAACGAGTACGTGTGTCCACGAGCGTACGCTCGGCTTTTCACTCAATAGCTGTCCAGCAAATCATCCGCATGCCGATTGAAAAGCAACCTTGAAGAGCTTCACCAAAAAAGTAGCTGAACACTGCCCAACCTCGATACCGACCGAGCATCATGACTATGCAAGAAACCAAGAATAGAACGATGAAGAGTGTGATTAGTTAAAGGAGAACTCACAACCAATATGCTTCGGCAAACGGGTATGATTTTTTATAAGTATCAGAATTACAGGCATCAGCTTGGAAGTTATTATAGAGTAAATGCCTAGTGACCCACTAGCACTAAGCCTTTATCTTAGTAGGAGAATCATATCTCTGGTTCAAAACACACAGAGTAGAAATAGGGGAACCTAAACAGCTTAGTGGGAACTAAGCAGTTTATTCCGATTATTATAATACATATGTTTTCCCTAGCAAACCTATACATTATTAAGACACTGTAATCATAGCAGCGACTTGCGGCCTAGTTGATGATATCTTGCTGGCTAGGAACCTCCAGCAGTCACCTCCGGGCTGCTTACAATGGTGGTGGTTAGGAATATATAGGTATCACTGCACCATCTTTCATCCTTGTTTTAGGGGAGTTAGTCTAGTTTTCTATTAGGGCTACAGAAACAAAAAAGAACTTACTCAGATGACGCCAATTGCTGGAACTCCAGTAGTTAGAACCTGCCTGAAAATCTTGTCAACCTACAGAATGCCTCCTTCCTGGAGGATAACAGACTAATATCTACCTATGATAGTTTAGACCTCCAGCAATGACGCCCAGACTTAAAAAGAGATGATCCCCACTCTGCGGGACAGACAACAGACATACACAGACAATCCTTGCTTCACACACTATATCTTCTAAGTGTTGTCCTGATCATAGCACATACGACCATAGGGTGTGGAAAACAGGGCTTCCCGTCCGCTCAGCCGTACTTAAGCCACACGCCGGCCGGTTAGTAGTTGGGTGGGTGACCACCAGCGAATCCCGGCTGTTGTATGTTTTTTCCTTCCCTGTCTTTTTGCTTCAAGCCTTATGCCAATGCTGCTCTGATCCTGAGGCCGTTCGCCCTCAACTGCACTCTGCCTGAATTATACCTGAAGGCTGTCTAAAACCTACTTACTTCCCCGCCGCTGACGTGTCATCACGTCTTCTCACTCCATCCCTAGGATCACATACTAAACGAGCCACCGGTAGACTAGACCTTGCAAGCGAACAAGCCTACAGAATCCATCCCGCAGCAACGAAGCGAGATGTTTGCCACATTGCAGCCGTGCTCCGGAGAACGGAGACAAGGGTGTGGCGATTGAGCGCCTCTCCGAGAAGGTGGGAATCGAGACGAGGAAGCTCTGTACTGTCCTTTCCTAGCCACTGTTATTTTGAAAACTAGATTCTCATGGAAATCCGCGATGGATGGGCAGGTGACAGGTTGCATCATGCCGCTGTCTCTACTCGATTCGCATCTTCCGAGACCATGAACCTAGATTGTACAATGAGCGTTAGGAAGAGACTGTGATGGTTAGGCTTAGGACACACCCGATTAAGAGCCATGGTAAGTTGGACACAGCCTCGAATTGGTTGACGATAGCCTGGGGATCTCATCCTCAGTTTGTGTCTCGTCTTGTCTGACCGAGTGTGTGCAACATACAGGAATGATGTTTGCTGCGATGGTGTTGTCAAGAGCATAAAAAAGTAATAGCTGTGAGTGTGCTCAGGATGAATAGAAAACCACTGGAAAGGCCGGGCCAGCCACAGAAAACCAAATGGATACTAAGGCAAGAACATACGCAAAATCTGGCGATGGTTCGGACATCCTTCGAATCCTCATGGGATCCATTGGGGTCACCTTGCGGCACCTCTCAACTCCGCAACAGGGGCAACATAGCTGGCGAGTTTCAAGTCATAAGATATCCATTTGTCGCCAGCTGCATAATGGACTTTATGTGGCGCTGTGAATGTGATATTGTCAGCCAGGTTCTATGCTATCATTCCTTCCTACTATGCTAGAAGAAATGGTTGTCTAGACGCCGGAAGATGGTTTGACATATATATTCACCCCGCAGCATCCTCGCCCTCTTATCGTTTCCTGCTTCTCTGTTGAACCTCGCCTTCACTTTCGCCGCTGCAGAGATTTATATACATTGTACATTTGACCCGCTATGGCACGTGTGTGGCTCATCACGGGGTGCTCCTCTGGCTTTGCTATTGCCGCTGCCAAGATTGGCGACACCGTGGTAGGTCGTATCGATATCGTGGTGGACAACGCGGGATATATATTCTTGAGGGAGCCATCGAGGAATGCAGGTAGGGGCAGTCATCATCCTGTCTTTTACCTTGCTGATGGGTCCCAGGGCCGCGGATATTGAGGCCCCAGCTCCGTGCCAATGTCTTTGGCCAACTGCGTCTTTCGAGGCGCTTAGGCGCACGGGACGATTTCAGGGACGGGCTCTGCCTCCCCGACTGGCTCTGGGGCGCGATGCAGTGCAGGTAATCGGAGCAGCTCTCGACAAAAATCGCGAGGCACTGGACGAGTGGAAGGACCTGGTGAGCACCACCGATTGTGACGATGTAGCAACATAACCTATAGATCGAATATCCAAATCTTGGGTGCATCTTCAATTAGCGTCTTGCTAATGGGACTCCCTGACACAATATGTAGCTTACCAGACAATGTGTGCCCAGTCATAGATGACGAAATGTGGCTTCCTCTTGGGGACCGAGCAAATCATATTTCCTAAGCCTTCCACTCACTGGTAATGCATTCCCTGCCAGGCTTTCCGAGGTTGAACACCATCGCCCTGCCTACTCTCTTATATCTAGCTGTTAAATTGCACGTGCCGTCAACACAACGTCCACAACAGACACTTCTCGCTCAACGCTGCATACACTTACACCACAGCACAATTTGATTTGAAAACGAACAATTCGAGAAGCAAAAAAGAATGCAGAAAAAGCAAAAAAACATACAACAGCCGGGATTCGCTGGTGGTCACCCACCCAACTACTAACCGGCCGGCGTGTGGCTTAAGTACGGCTGAGCGGACGGGAAGCCCTGTTTTCCACACCCTGTGGTCGTATGTGCTAGATTTCCTCCAGTCAGCGTATATTACCTTAATCTTGTATACATAGATCCCTTGCGTCAGACAATTCGAAGGCACTCTTCATAGTGTGAGTTCCACATGGAACTGCCACAAGAGACTGGTCAAAGGGCAAATAGGCTGATGCCTACCAGGAGGGTAGTATTCACCATATCAACCCATGATTTGGTTTTGTTTTAATGCCGAGGGGGACCGGCCCCGTTGGGCCGGCCGGGAACCCATGCGTATCCGCACATTCGGGGTCGAGTGGGATAACCGTTATCCTCAATGGGCCGAGGATCTTCCGACCACGCTGGACGTCGATAGGTCAACTGTGGATTACCAGCGGGCCCTTGCTCGCGTCAAGGAGTATCTCTCTTTACCAGAGTATGGAGTAAAGGTGCAATGGTCGTACAATACAACACGCGAAATCCCCGCAGACTGGGAGACAACATTATCCTTGCGTGAAGTTGTGAATATCAAATACAGTCGCATGTTTCGGTTCCAGCACTCCGAGCCTGGCACCACCTATTCCTACGAAGACTGGAAGGCAGGACGAACGGCCCGAGCAATCGTCGGTCGTGAGGATTACGACAACGTTGATTGCTTCACGGAACTCTGGCAGAACCGCGAGGAAATCATGGATCCAATGGTCCATAATGAGATGGTCAGAGCAAAAGACGAGATCGATCATCAGTTCCAGACTGTGAAACTCCAGGACGAGTTCCGCGAAAAGGGGCTACAGATTATCGTTAAGCTGGGGGGCATTGAGCTCACTCCTGATAATCCTTTCTTCTTGGGGGAGGATTGGCACGCGGACGGTCTGCTGAATGAGCATATCGCGGGGGTAGCAATGTATTGCTTCGATCTTGAAAACGTGACAAATACCCGCATCTCCTTCGCTCAACAGATTTCCATGCCTGGTGCGAAGTTCTCATTCGATTGGGGTGAGTGGGACGTTCCCTACCTGGAAGAATTGTTCGGTGTTCAGAATGGGGGACCAGCGTTTCAAGAACTCGGGTCTGTGTCTATACGTCAAGGGGGTCTGATCACTTTTCCCAACTGCCTACGCCACCGCCTTGAGTCATTTGAATTGGTGGACAAAGCTCGACCTGGACGCTGTCGCTTTTTGACCCTGTGGCTCGTTGATCCTTACTACCGCATCTGCTCGACGCGAAATGTGCCTCCACAGCGTCTCGATTGGTGGGAACAGGAAGCACGATCCCATCTATTATCAGCCCATCCACTTCCCCAAGAATTGGCGGATCAGATCATTGCTGAGACTGGTCCGTGGCTTATGAACTTATCAGAGGCTCAGCGCCACCGGCGTGAACGAGCCAAGGACGAGACAGTAGCTCGTGAGAAGGACACAAAGCAGATTGAGCGTAACACTATATGCCTTGTGAAGCGATGATGCTACCTGGACTACAATAGCCAATAATGAGACATCATGAATAGAAGGATTGGGAGCCTGTGGCACACATGTGGTCCTTTCCATTTGGAATTTAGTGAGAAACGTCACTGACTTGCGCAGAGTATAGTCACCTGCTGTGGCACTGAGGCTGAAAGATCCGATAATCTCAGTTCAAGGACACAAACAGTACCTATCAGAGTCAGACTTAAGAAGGCTTCCCATTCCCGATTCTAACCCGGTCTGCCTGAGCGAGAGAAGCATACAAGAAGGTGTAGTTCATCTTCAAGTATATATCAACAACTTAATCTCATAAAGACTTTTAATTTCTTTATTACTTATACTCTACTAGACGAGCTCAGTGTCAACATAATACATCCTATCTCCTAGGTCTCATCTAGATGAGGAAAATAAGTAGTACTCATACTCCTAGCATAGGGCTCCAAGGATTACGCAGAATCACTCTTCTGTTTCTATTTCTGTATAAGATTAGTAGGGGGTGTACTGCACTCTTAGCATGATGTATGCTAAAACAAGTAACATTTATAAATAGAGTAGTTAATAACCCTCTGATAGGTTTCCACCAGGAAGCCCTGGTAATGCCTAGTGAATAATAGTAGATATGCAACTGTTACACTGTCTATTATAGTCGGGTTAGCAGAGGATAACTTGAGCTGCATTCAGCTGGAGTCAAAACTCAGGATGTAATGGGCAGGATATCTTGCATGGGGCTCGAAATGATTGATTTCTACATATTTCAGGGATGAAAGCCGTATTTCATAGTCGAATACATATCTTGGGTACTGTGGAGAAGCGATATGGCCAACCCGGGCTGCTTGCGCAGCAATGTCATGGAGATTCATTGCTAGAAAAGATCCAACGCCAGTATGCACATCACGGATCACCGGAGATTCTCATGCAAAATCAAGACTGAAAGAAACACGGTAGATCCGAGTAGACCAGAAGACCCAGGTTTCACACCTCTAGATCACAGAAATCACCAATATAAACGCGCATAGGGGCTACATATGACATGGAATTAACAAGAAAAGACAGAAACAGAACGCTCAAGGGGTATATTCCGATGCGCACATCATAACCAGATATCACCTTCTTCGCCATTTACCCATCGTTTCCAGACTTGATCATAAGCATTCTCTAAATCACGAACCCAGCGTTTGGTATCAAAAAGACGGCTCCCCATTCTCTCCTCAAACAGCATCCGGCGGAGGTCGAATAGCCGGCCTCGCGCTCGACCGCCACACCCGGGGTTGTACTGGAGACTGAGACAAAGGCGGATGGCCTTGTCCTCGTAGTCTTCGTCGGATACTGCCGTCAACTCCTCACGGGCCTTGCGGCCAGCGTCAGAGTCCGGCAGCGCGCTGCTCAGGATGCTGCTCGCCATCCGAGAACACATTTTGTACTTGTAACGGGGATATGTGAGCAGTGGTGTGCCACTCCACAGCACGTCTGTCGCAGTCGTGTGCGCATTACACTCCGGCGTGTCTAGGAACAGGTCCAGGATCTTCGCCCGAGCGATGTGAGCGTTCTTCGGAGCCACATCCGTAAAAATAATCCGGGATGCTGTCTCCCGCCCCGCCCACGCGATGGCTGTCTCCCGGAGGTTCTGTTCGCCCAGGTCCGGGAAGCGAAGCAGCCACAGAACGGCGTTGGGAATGCGCGCCAGTATACGAAGCCATGTACGGAACGTTGTTGGCTCAATCTGAATGGAAGCGCTTAGCATACTCACATCACACATAATCTAAAGACAATACTCACCTTGTACAGTTGGTTGAAATTGCCAAGGATGATCGTGTCATCGCTGAGATTTGGGAACAGCTCTTTCCGCATTCGCCATCGCCGCTCCTGTTCCTGCTCCCAGGTGATACGCGCATCTTTCGCGTCGGGAGCGCTTTGCCGATGGTCGCAGCAGAAGAATGTGTCGCGAGTATAGACAATCTTCTCTCCATAAACCCAGTCCTCGAGCTCCTCGCCGTAGTCCTGCTCCAAAAGTCGATCCTCAATGCGGGCGTTGCGTCTTCCAGGGCTAAGCGTATCGACAGGAATGGAGATCTCATCTGCAAGAATATAATCGCACCACTCGGCGCCCAGTGTCCCTGCAAATCCCATGAAAGACATATGTATTGGCGCAGGTCGTGCAGCAAACACCTCGTTGCGCGCTCCCCGTGTGTAGCCGTTGAGATTGACAAGGATGTGGATCCCGTCGTCAACAATCTGCTTCACAAGTCTCTCGACGGGCCAACAGCTGGCGTCGTGGAACACGGGTGCTTCTTTCTCGATCTGCTGCCGATGCACGGATTTGTCGCTTGCAGTGGTTGCGTAGCAGTATGCCTTAACCCTGGACGGGTTATGCAACCCAAAGACAGACTGCATCAAATGCGCGAGAGGGTGATTATTAAAGTCCGACGACACATATCCAACCTTCAGATAGGGATTTGGAGGCGGCGGCGGTGGATACACCGTAGCTGGAAGCCACGGAGAACGTAGGGTGGAGCACGAGATTCGAAGCCCATTCCTTTGAGAAATCTGACGGATCTGCTTCGCAGAAAGCGGACAGGTGAATGTGTGAAAAGGGAGAACCGTTGGCGCATTGGGCGCTGCGAGCCCCGGTGGAAGTTGCGGCCGTTGATATTTGGTTAGCGGGTATTCTTTGCCGTAGATATAGCGGTCCTGGTACCACTGCCAGGTGATCGAACGATTTGCACGCTCGATCAATTTGACGATCCGCGAGCCCTCCCACCTTTGTCCAGCCCAAGACTGCAGTATGGCGGCCAAAGACCCAGAGGCCGAGCGGCGACTCTCCAAGGCCGGAGCGATCTGGACGCAAAGTTGCTCTATCGTGTTAGGTGACAGTAGACCACGACCCCACGACTCCCCCTCCTTGAGCTGTCGATTGACGATATCAACGACGCGCTGTATCCAGCCAGTACCGGTCTCGCTAGTAGATGCATCACGGAGCATCCCTTGCTCAGTGACATGCCATCGGTCGCGGAAACCATACCCATTGGCAATGCCTCCACGTCCGACCCAGTTGCAGACGGAGTTCAAGGCATTTGCCAGTCCGCATACTGCTTCAGCGAATTCAGGGTTCACTTTGACGGCACGCTTGTAGTAGGCAATCGCATCGTTGACTCGACCTGCATCTTTGACGGCATTTGCCAGATTGGCCAAGGCAATATCGAAGTTACCATCACAATGAACCGCTTGCTCGTACATCCGGATGGCGGCCTGGAGCTGCCCGATGTCTTTAAGCAGGCTACCCAGATTGGTATAAAGATGCGCGTGTCGCGAATCGAGATGCAATCCGTAGTTGTAGTACGCTAGTGCCAGTGAAATCCCACTTCCGGGGACCACTCCAGGAACCTCAGGGTGTTGTGCTTCCCCGCTAGAACGAGGGAGGCCCTTGCCGGCGGCATTGTTTTGGATTCCAGCAAGCAAGATTCCAACGTTATTGGCAGTCGAGGGACTCGGTTGGAGGGACAGGGAGAGGTAATAGAGTGCCAAGATGTCTCGAACGCCAGGAGATTTCTTAGGAATGCCCGAACCGGAAATATTGGACATGCCGTCTTGATAGATCTTTGCCAAGGAAAGCAGCGAGTTGCTCGTGGTCGACAAGGCGGCTTTTCTTGCAAGGCCTTCGGCCACAAACTTGATCCCGGGGGGAGTTCCGCAAGGTGCAAAGACTAGCTTCGAAGTCTGTAAGGCCTTATCAGGATAAAGAAGAATGGTCTCCTGGCTCTCGTGAGAGTTCAGGGGCGAGTAAGCCTGGTGAGAGCCCTGGCAGAAGGCGGTATATGTCTGTTTAATCAGACTTTGAATGCCATGGCGTCGTCTCCCTGCCGCAATCAAGACAGCATCCTCGAAGGCCGCCGCAGCACCAGCATTATCGCCCAATGCATAGAGCATGTTGCCCTTCGCATGAACGAGCGCAAGCATTCTGCCATTGTCACAACCTGGTATAGCGTAGCCGCTGGAGCCAAAGCCAGCTGCGCTAGCTTCAGATGGTTTCCGGTTACCGATCAGCGAGCGGCCGAAGTCATCGTCGTAGTCGAACGATGCCTTCTCATAAGATCCAACACTTGAAGCGCCGCTATCCGCATCACTCTCCGTTTCGCTCGCATGTTCATCTGTGGTAAAACAATCGCCATTCTTGGGGAAGCGTAGGGAATTCTGCACATATTCGATGATGTTCACGGCTTCTTTACCACGATGGCTGCTACAAAGGAGACCGATGAGATGCTCCACAGCCTCGAAGAAACTGGGACGGAGCTTCACAGCACGAAGCCAATGTTGCAGCGCCTCCTCGCGACGATCAAGCGCAAGCAGCGTTGCTGCGAGATTTGATATCGCCTCCACATGCCTAAATGCAGTCAACACATATACACAAAAACCTGGGGCAGCCTGTACTTACGTTGCGTCCCTCGCGATAATCCTGGAATACCACCTCATAGCTTTGTGATAGTCGCCAAGTCCATAGGCAAGGCAGCCGCCAAGCAGCATCCCATCGATCCACTCCCAACCACTCTCCATGCAGAGGTGCGAGAGCATTTCGAGAGCGGACATGGCATTTGCTGGTGTCGAATTCTCACCTGTTGCAGAAAAGGAGAAACGGGGAGCCGGTCCTGTAACTGCTACTCTGCCAGTATGCCGCAATCTGTCCAGCATTTGTGAATCTGACACTGCGTACTGTTGGAATTGACTCATAGAAGGACGGCGATTATGCTGGAAAGTAGCCGTGGTATCCACTGGCCTTGAATACCCAAGAATATTAGTCTTCTGATGGCGCCCATCATATTGGCTTGAGGGGTAGCTATTATGGCGAAGGAATTCGGGACTATTCGACTGAGAGAAATCCAAGCCTGGCTGTCGTGGAGGTTTGGGATATATGCTTGGTTTCAAGCGCAGGGGCTGCCCATCACTGCCGGCCTGGGAGATGCTGTTTCGACGGGCCTGATGGATGGACGCGAGAAGATCAACATATACACCATGCGCCCATGATAGTATCTTCTCCTTGAATTCGACATTTGCAGCGCGTGAGTGAGCAGTTGTGAAAGAGCTAGGCAACCCCGGCCCGTTGGACCCAGGCGGCACGGAGAAGGATTCTCCGCCTTGCTGATTTGTTGGAAGCCCAGTGCTAGGATTAGTACGAATGTGCAACGGGAGAACGCGGTGGTTCAGAGAAGAATCCAGAGATTTCTGTTCCGAATGACG